CCCCCCCTTTTATCTTTACCTGGTAGTCTTGCGAATAACATACTTCCTGTGCATACACTCACTGCTCCACAGTATCTGCAGCCATGATTGTCACACAGGCTGGACTGTCTGCATTTGTTTATCTCTCAGGAGGTTAGTAGTTTACAGAAAAAGCTAAATAGTTTGCTTCCTGTCCAGCCTTGGCCCTCCATGCCCACTAAATTTGGGAACAAGCCCTCATCACTATGAAGGGGCACCCCCACTTTCATTAGAGGGGATGTCTGTCAGCTGCTTCATCCTCCTGGGCCTGGGACATTCATGATGCCTTGGTCCAGAGCATCATAATCAAGGGTTACAAACTGGAGTTTCGCTCCCTGCATCCTCCTCACTTCCTGCTGTCAAAGTTGCCAAGATACCCCCAAAGATTAATGGATCTTTTGGCTGCCCTAGGTCAGCTATTTTCTAAGGTGATCATAGTCCCTATTCCAGAAGCAGAAACATTTCAGTGGTTCTATTCCTAACATGTTTTCTGTCCCCAATTCAAAGGGGAGCTGGGGGGGATTTACCCTTCTCTCCATCTAAACATTCCCCTTGCGTTCCTGCAAGTCCACAAGTTCTGAAGATAATCTTCCCACTATGTCATTACCTCTTTTCACCTGGGAGACATTGTGGTGTCAGTGGATATCAAGGTTGCTTATTTGCACTTCCCTATTTTTCCTGCCCATCAGCGCTTTCTGTGAAACACGCAACACTACCAATTTGTTGCGCTTCCGTTAGGTCTGTCCACTGTGCCTCGGGTCTTCACCAAGGTGCTGGCCCCATAGTGGGGTTCTTAGATGTCCTTCTCTTCAGAGGGCAGTTGCTGCAAGCCTTATCCTTCCACATTATTCAGATGATACAAACCATACAGAGCTTCAGATGGCACTGGAACCCTCTCATTACTTTGAGTACCTGGTTCTAGTCATAGACATGGCCCTGTCCAGTGGTTTCCTTCCCCCATAAAAGATCCAGTCTGTCCGCTTCCATGTTTGAACTCTGCAGACGGGTCGCCCAACCGTTTGCTTTTACATTAATGACTGGGCTTGATGTTGGCTTCCATTAGGGCAGTCCCCTATGCTCAATTACACTCAAGGCCATTGCAGCTCAACATTTGACTATGTGGGACAACCAGGTTCAGTCCCTGGATCCTACCCACTTGTAAAGCTTGCCTTCCTTGTCGCCATCTTTTGGCCAGGTGTTTTTCTGAATTGGCTCTTCTCTGTTCACACTTTTGCCAAGTCTTATCAGTTGGACGTATGTCTGTGAAGGTTCTCATTCATCCAGGTCATGGTATATCTGTAAAAAAATAAGTCAAGGCAACTGGATTTGCTGTATTTTTCTTGAAGAAGTTTCACTGGTCATCCAACCAGCTTTCTCAATTCAGAATGACTTGTAAAAAATTATCTGGGAATAAATATGGTGAATGTCGCTCCAATCCACATAATCCGTTAGTCACAACCAGATGTTGATAGCATTTGCATAGTGGGCGCTAGGAGTTAATAACCTGCCCAGAGAGAGGTGTTAAAACAGCATTGTATGTGGCAGACAATAGATGTCTCAACCCCCACCTCTATACAAGCTTGGCTTCTCCATTTTTACGTGTTTTTTTAATGGGTCTATTAGCCATTGTTTGGTCTGTTGCCCGCCCCTCTTTTGGACTACTTTGGAACCTCCCATTGGTTCCAGGATTAACTCTCTCTGTCTTTTGATGTACGATCAAGAAAACAGAATTTTTGTCTTACCTGTAGAATCTATTTCAGTACATCACAGGACAAAGGACCCTACCCTTTGTTTTCTGTGATCCACTCTTGTATTGCTCGCTAAAAAACTGAGGCAGACTGAGAGTGGAGGGGTTATACAGGACAGACCATACAACTTTGATTTTTAACTCCCTGTGTTCTGTAATGTGCTCCAAGAAACAGATTTTACAGGACAAGAAAACTGTTTTCTGCACTTGATGAAAAAGTTATCAGCCTGAAAAAAGAAAATCAATGCAGCTGACCCCATCGAAGGACCGGTGAGCTGCAATGTAGCCTCAGCTAACCGGCAGTCTCATCTAACGGCAAAAAACAATCCCCTGTGTACTCACTGTTCTGCCGATCTCCCACCTTCTAGGAGAGAGAGAGGGCTCTGGAGCATGGAAAGGCACAGGAACAGGCTGAACTCTGTTGGATGATTGGGAGAATGAGTTCCTGATGATCTCTGAAAAGTGATGTGTTATCCTGGAAACGGGTGTCTGATCGATCGGTTGTGAAGTGAAAGTTGTTACCTTGTAGACAAGTGCCACCTAGTGATTACTCCCAGTACTGCAATGTATTGCAAATGATTTAGAGTACAATATACTGTTATTGTACGGTTTAGTATGGGGTAAGGCATTAGTTAGACCTATTTTTAATAGTAACTGTCAAGCAAACAGAAACTACATTTATCCGCAATCTACCAATCCCTGTTGATTCCAGATAACGGGGGAGTTTACTGTAATTAGTTATTCTTTCAGGAATCGGTAGTATTGCCATTTAACTCCCTTGGGAAGCTGGCTGTCCTTTTATCCTGTCGACAAGATTGCCTGTAGACATTCTTTCCCCTTTGTGTCTGGGCACATTTCCCATATGTGTGAGTCTGCTCCATCTACTGGTTGAAATAGTGTACGAAGACTATGCCATCAGTATAATTCTACTAGATTGAAATTCTTCTCAGTGTATTGGCATTGTGCATGACCAAGGAGTTCATGTTTTGTCCTTTTTAACTTCAGTATCCCATTCTACTATGATTATGACCCCGGCTTGGGCCTTTCTTCTACCTTCTGTGATATGAGTCTGTCTGCCACTTGTGCTGATCTATGCTAAGTTATGTGGACTGTAGTTTTGCCCAACAGTTTGGAACACCAGTTTCTTATTAGCTGTTGATGGTGTGCCAAATCTAAAGTCTGCGCCCTGGGATGTCACCTCGCAAAGTTGCATAAAGAAGGCACTTCTTAGCCTCTGCTCCATGGAGGAGCCTACGAATAAAATGATTGACACAGGGAGTCCACTCAGACCAGTGACATGGAGAAAGATGAGGTAGTTGCTGGGATAGCAGCACATCATTTTATCTCTGTGCCAAAAATGTTCCTTCCGCTCAGTAACCTGTAGCAACCAAGCTAAGTTCAACATTTGTTGTAGAATAAGTGAAATAGTATATTTGGTTGCCATGAGTTTTTGAACTTTGCACATTGCCGTTTGCCATATTGTGCCAGTCCTATGATGCGTAGCTGTGATTTAGTTAAAATCCTTAAATCTTCTATTGTGAACACTTAATCAAAGAACAATATCTTTTGTGGGAGGCTAGTCTTTTATAAAAGCTCATATCTCTATTATACACCAAGTCCAGCACACACATGAATAAAAGATATTCAGTGGTCCGGTGTGTTTACTTTTGCTGTGCATGCAAGTGAAAGCCAGTAGCTTACTCTGCCTCTTTGTGTACACATAGCATTAAGAGCTTTGTTGTGCCTGTGTTGCCTCATTACTAGAAGCTGTTGGAATCACATGAGCCTTTCAGTGTATGCAAATAAGGCCAAATCATCTGCCTGCAAGTTAATATTCCCACTTTTGAAGTGCATTGTAAATGTAATGTTTGTGTTTAGAACATAACATCCTTTTCCCTTTGAATATAGATGTATAGGTGTATGGGCAGGAAGCTAAGCGGTCCGAGGCAGCTGTTAGATGCTGGCTTTGAGTGTTATTAATTTCACATGCTATTCTTCTTTTCTCTGTAGCACAAGTGAAGCTGATGTGGAGGCTGTCATGGATAAGTTGTTTGATGAGCTGGCTCAGAAACAAAATGATGGTACGTAAGTTAATTTCTCCTGAAAAAGAACGCATTTAAAACACAATGCCCAATCTCCACTGACCAATTAATAAGTTCCATTGCTGTCTATGGGTTGATGCCACACTCAAGTGGCAGTCATTGTATCAGCATTTTGTCTAATTTATGTGTTGAATCATGCGCTATTATTCATCAAGCTATGCATTTCCTAGCTGTAAGGGATGAATTTTAGGGTAATTATCCAGACAAGACTGAGCTTTTGTTCCCGTTTCCATAGTAACAAGACCAAGGATTCTGAAAGTGCAGGGCAGGGAGCTGAAGCTGAGCAAAGCCTGTGGATCCATTGCTGACTGCACACTTGAGGAACTCTGTGACCGTGTAAGTGCCCAGCAACTATAAACAAGTTAACACCCCCTCTGTTTTTCAGAGTTTTTTTTTGTTTTTGCATTCTCCGAACATGTTTTTCTTAAACAGTGAACAAAAGCCTATTTTCAAACAGCAGCACACCCACATTATTCACTGCACAGTACAGTTATTGTATGACAACCTCCCATTTTAATGTTATTAGCACAAAACTGCACTTTTCTCTGCTGACTTTATTAAAGGGCCATTAAAATGCGACAAATGGACAAAGTTGAATTTGTTTGCTGTGGAAAAAAAGTTGCTAGTTTGGGAGAAGGTTTGGACAGCAGACATTATGTGAACAAAATATTTTTTAATGGAAATGCTGCTAATGAATGTGTCAGTGCATTGGAATTCTGAAGAATAAAGAAGAGACAGCAATTCTCTACAGACCTCTTCTAGTCAGTTACTTGGCTGCTAAATTGTTAATCGTAATAGACCTTATCATCCCTAAAAATTGTTTTCTAATGCTTTGATTGGCTTCAGTGTCATGATATTCTATGTACCTTGGAGCAGGCGCTTTATGGGGCCTGTTAGTAAAATGACAACTGAAAACATTTTGCATTGAAAGAATTTCAGATTTTATTCAGTGGTGGATCATAAGCCTATGGCTTGGATTATTTTCTGATGCTGAGGACAGTTGCCCATATATTGCAAAACATCTGGTTCCAGCAGACAAAGTGTACTCTACAATGCAATAAATATTCAAGAGCCAATAAACCTCACTACATTTTTGCCAATGTTTTGGGGGAAATGTAACTGCTGTGAGTGTTTGATGGTTTTGTTTGCATGGAACTTATCATAAATGAAAAATACATTTATCACACATACTTGATCTTTAATCTACACCTACTGCTAACCTACCTATATTTTCACACCAGTATCTATTGTCCGCTAAACTAGTAGGATAGAAATATTCATGTTGGCATTGCTGACTTATATTTGAAGGTGCACGCTCCTTGGCTGTCTTTGACCTGGAATACGTATGCCACCAATGGACGGCTGATATTCGCATACTTCATAAGAAGATACTTTAAGAGCACTTGCTGTATTCAACTCTCTTTATTACATTTCAAAAACAGCAAAGGTTAAAAACATTTAAACACCTTGCCTCATGACCATGACCTTACGACCATTTCATATGTAACATACAAGTGCTTTCAAAGGCGTGTACAGGTCCGTTTTCACAATTAACTTCTTCCCAGCAGTGGGGTTAATCGGCTCTAAAACATCTCATAGAATCTGAAATCACTATACAATCCTAATGCAATTATATCTAAGCAATATACATTGTGCTCCAGGTACATATATTGTATACCTTTTATTAGATTTAAATTTACTATATATCTCTCATTCAGACTCAGCCGTCTCCTCTACTTTTGCAGGATTGAAGCAAGCTTTATTACAAAGCTCGCCATATATATCACAACCCAACTGCACTATCTCTATATACTGTAATGACCTCCAGACCCAACAAGACTGTGCTATATGAGGACAGACCAAAACAATCCACAGTAAACCAGACAGGCCCTTTCACCATGTAGGCAATGGCAGATCCAAAGGAGACCACATAATCGGACTGCACCGTGCATGATTAAAAATTATTTAAATAATTCCTGTCATTCAAACTGAGATGTTGCTTCTGTCAGTGAAATTCATTTTGCTACCTCCTGCAATAAAATTCTGCCTTCATCACCTCTACAAGAACTAATTTTAAATTTTTTTGTTTTTAGACCCATTAAATTCACCATCCGTATATATCACTACTATGAGTATTCTGAATATGGGCAATGAACCAAGGGGGGGCCCACACCAGTCTCAATAGATCTCAAATGCTTCTGAATACATTCTTTTAACATCCTGATTATCTTTCCAATAAGATAAAAACTGCAACGGCACAGCATATGGTATACTGCATACTGTGTCCTGCACATAGATAACTCTTTAAGGCAATGAATATAACCCCCTAATTTTACCTTTCTTATCTTAAATCATATGGAGGCATACACTAAAATTGCCACAGCAGAAATTGCCTATTGGACACATGTCTGACAACCAGGTGTCTTTTTCTTGTGTTTAAAGTCACTACTGACTAAATAATCTTTATTCGTTTTACATCTCCTGAATGTTACAATTGGGTACCTCTTTTTTTTATCTCCCATTTTGTTGCCCTATATGCTAGTTGTTTCTCATTATTTGTTAAATTCTATCTACTAGGGATGCACCGATGCCGTTTTTTTCGCTATCGAATACGAGTACTGATATTTATATTTCGGAACTGGCCGATACTGGTACCTCCGCTAGCATGGAGCCGGCTACCCAGGCAATCAGGAAGCAAGGCAGCGGATCATTACTTGAATCAACATGGAGCCGGCTTCCCGCCCCATGAGCATCAAGCCGGACAAATAGCATGGAGCCGACTTCTCGGCCAATCAGGAAACCGGGCAGCGAGTCATTACCCGCCGCCCGGCTTCCGGAATGGCGGGTAAGCCGGCTCAATGTTCCCTTGCGGCACTGCCGGTCAGAGGAAATCTCCCTCTGACCAGCAGTGATGGGCCGAACACCCCCGTGTTCGGTTCGTATTCGAACACCCGAACAGCCGAAAAGTTCTAATACGAACTCGAACCTAATGCAAGTCAATGGGGGTCGAACTTTCGAAAATGATTGTCCCCTTTTAAAAGTGCTTATATGCAAGTTATTGTCCATAAAAGGTGTATGGGGGTCCGGGGTACTGCCCTGGGGGACAGGAATCAATGAAAAAAAAATACAGTTTTTAAAAGAGCAGTGATTCTAACATCACTTAAAGGGAAAGAATAAAAAATTCCTTCAAATATTGTGCCTGGGGGGTCCACTTAACCTGCATGTGAAGTGGCGGATCTGTGGGGTGTATAGAACCTGCTGCAGCAATACTTACATTTCTATTTAAAATATTTTTTTTTTTTTGCTCTTAAAGTGTGCAGTTCTCCCTCCCAAGCAATACCAGACCCTTAAGGTCTTTTAGGAATGTTAGGAGGGACCATTAAAAAAAAAAAAAAGCGTAGGGTTCCTAACAATTGTTCCAAACAATTGAGCGGAGCTAGCGGTGACAGCTAGCTCCGCCCCAATTGTGTAGTTTGCCAGCATCTGACAGGCGAGACATGATTGGGCAGAGTCATCATGACTTTGCCCAATCGTGGATCCAAATGAGTACTGAGCCCTGATTGGACAAAGTCTTGCACCTGACCTGTAGTCAGGTGCAAGTCTTTAACCAATTAGAGCTTCAGAGGGCTCTTTGCAGTATGGGATGTTGCACAGTCGAACAGACCACAAACATCCCATAAAGTTCGGCGAACGCTCGAACGGCCAATGTTAGATTCGAACTCATGTTCAATTCGAACCGGCGGACCATCCCTACTGACCAGAAGTTCCTGGTATCAGGGAAGGTTATGGAGCAATACTCTGTATCGGCACCGATACCAATACTATGCCATAGATGAGAATTTATAAGAGAAATAGAAGTAATCACTTTTATTCCTTCCTGCTTTTTTTATCATTACTCACTAAATCCCTTCTTGTTTCCAAGCTCTATTGCGTGCTGCTTCGATTTCTTTCTTATTATATCCCCTTCTTCTTAACCTCCTGCTCAAATCATCAGCATATTTACAAAAATCTTTATCACACATATTACGCCTCAGACACACAAATTGGCCATAAGGAATCCTTTTTTTTTAACCTGCAAATGGTGATAAAGATCATAATAAAGCAGGGCATTAGGGAATGCCATACTGACTGTATTTATATTTAAATATCACATGAACTCTTCCAAATTGAAACTATTGCCACACTAAACTATCAGGGCCATTATCAATATAGCAAATCCCCATCCTGATGAAACATATATATGAATTGCCCTCAATGAAGATCCATTCTTACTCCAATAATGCGCATACATATATACGTAGGTGCCACAGGATTTCCCACTCCGCTATCTTGATTGTACCACTGACCATCAAAAAGAAATGACTTTTCAAAACAAACTTCAACAAGTCACAAATTTGGTTAATATATTCATTCTTTAGATTTCCCTCTACTCTGCCCTTGTATAGCATGGTTTCGGTGGGTCTGGAGTCAATTGTTAGAGCTTGTGCCGTTGTGTTGTGCAAAAGTAGAAGACGCTGAGGCTGAAAGAGAGATATACAGAGAATTTAAACTGAATGAAAGATATAAAATATATGTAACTGGAGCCCAATGTATTTTGCTTAGAAATAATTGTATTAGGATTTTATGGTAATTGCAGATGATATAAGATTTTTCAGAGCAGACTGACCCCACTGCTGGGAAGGGGTTTATTGTGAAGACATACCCATTTAAATAAAAAGCGGTAGACGTTACACTGGGGTTATCCTTTTGCCCTTGATAAAGCTTTGCAGTATCCTACATGTATGAAACTAGATGAAAAACGCTTCGTGCCATTATTATACCCTGCAGTGAGCACTATGGTGAACCACTCAATAAAATAATATAATAAATTGTGCCACGCTTAACTCTTGAAATGTAACACAAATACAGTGAGAGGAATTTATCAAAACTGGAGCAGATAAACTCTGGAGCAGCTGTGCATGGCAACCAATCAGCTTCTCTCTTTCATTTTCAAATCTTAACTGATTGCACAGTCGAACAGACCGCAAACATCCCATAAAGTTCGGCGAGCGCTCGAACGGCCAATGTTCGATTCGAACTCATGTTCAATTCGAACCTGCGGACCATCCCTACTGACCAGAAGTTCCTGGTATAAGGGAAGGTATGGGAGCAATACTCTTTATCGGCACCGATACCAATACTATGCCATAGATGAGAATTTATAAATAAAAAGCGGTAGACGTTACACTGGGGTTATCCTTTTGCCCTTGATAAAGCTTGTGCAGTAGTATCCTACATGTATGAAACTAGATGAAAAACGCTTCGTGCCATTATTATACCCTGCAGTGAGCACTATGGTGAACCACTCAATAAAATAATATAATAAATTGTGCCACACTTAACTCTTGAAATGTAACACAAATACAGTGAGAGGAATTTATCAAAACTGGAGCAGATAAACTCTGGAGCAGTTGTGCACGGCAACCAATCAGCTTCTCTCTTTCATTTTCAAATCTTAACTGAACAAACTGAAGAGAAAAGCTGATTGGTTGTCCTGGGCAACTGCTCCAGATTTTGTCTGCTCCAGTTCTGATAAATTCCCCTCAATGAATTCAAAATATACAGTGACCAATAACTGTGAAACACCACAAATTTAATTCAGTTAAATATTCCAGTGAAAGACCACAATAGTCCTTGTACACCAACTGATGGACTATGTCGACCACCACTCCAACGTAACTACCACCACCAAAGTGAGGAATTGCCTTCACAGTACCTGTTCCCTTGGTTTACACTCCCTCAAGAAAGCCAGTGAACTTACTGCAAGAGCTTATCACTAAGGTTCTGCCCAGCAGATCCCTTTTCCCCCAAGGGGGGCAGGATATCACCCTAATCCAGAGCCCTAATTTATTGCCACTTCTCCTTCTCTCTTATCTCCCACACTCAAGTCAACATGTGTGGAGTAAGAGAGACTCCATGATGTACACAGTACTAGTAAAAATTAAGAACAAGCTTTTAATAGAATCAATGAAAGATTCCTGGCCGTGGTGGCGTCACTGGGAGCTCTCTCTCTCTCTCTGTCTCCTCCGTATGTTACACATGAAACGGTTGTAAGGCCAGACAGCATTTAAATGTGTTTCACCTTTGCCACTTGGCATATAAATGAAGAGTTGTATGCCGCGAGTGTCCTTAAAGTATCTTCTTATGGAGTGCATTGAAGACAAGAATTAGAACAAGTGAGCACAGAGACCCATGCTGTATTTTGCAGAGTGACAACACAGTGGGATCTCCTAGGGAAACCTCTCTTCTATACACTAGTCTATACCTCTAAGGAAACAACGGTGAGTGCTTAATTTCTTTTGTGTTTCACGTTTGTTATTCGCATACTTATTCCAATTCAGTGATTAACAAGGTAGTAAAAGAAGGATCAACATAATAACCCTGAGATGTGCACCATCCGTAACCAGTCATTAGTGACTGCTCCCATATTTCTATCCTGTCAGTTTAATTCTAAGTGAGAACTAGTAATGAAGCATGAAAGCCTAACATCAAAATGTATGTTTTATTTATTTATTTAAAAATGCCTTTCAAGATCTTCAAGACGAATGAATCAGAAAATCTTCACTGCTGCGAGCCTGCTGATCTCTGAAGTTAAATGAACACAGCATATTAGACACTCATTGTAGCAGATTGGAAAGTGCTATCATGTTCACCATAAAAACATACAGATACTGTCTGGGGCCAGATTCCTTTGGCTATTTGTATAAAGACGGTGCTATGAGGCACTTATGTTGCATCTCCTCATTGATAATGATAAAGTACTGTCTGCACATTCTGTACCACACTAATATTCACAAAGGTTGAAGTGTGCAGAAACTCATTGAGAACACAAAGCCTTAATTATTTGTTTTTGGGGCATCTTTATTATAACTAGATGCATTATGTATTAACGAGTTCTTTTTAATTGCTCAGGCAGAGTAGGTTGAATGTGATGTGAAACCAAGCAGTAAATTAACATTCATCCTTGTGAATGAGTAAAAGCATCCTATACATATGTTTGTATCATAACACTTAAATTGATAAGCTACAGCAGTTTAATATAAGAGATGAAAGATTTGGGCTTTTCAGTAAATGGAGCATTTGACAGGGAGACAAAGGAAATCTCTCTACTTTCTATCAGGTTTCCTAGGGATGGAGTGTGCAGGGACACTGCTACTTCCTAGTATGGATAAATCATAGGGTTTTAGGAGGAACTAAATCTTTGTACATGGTACTACTCTTTTGATCCTCTTATCGAACCCACTGCTTATTAAACTCCATAGCCATACTGTAATGATTGGTAGCCAGAGGCTATGGGGTCTATTCACAAAAAGGTGAAGAGTTTGGAGTAGACAGGAGAAGTGAACAATCTAGGACAACATAGCTGAACTAGAAAGTGAGCTGAATTGGAGAATTTTTCCCAAATCAGCTGTGTTGTCCTAGATTGTTCACTTCTCCTGCCTTCTCCAAACTCTTCACCCTTTTGTGAATAGCCCCCTATGTGATCTGAGCTGCCGATGCTGAAAGCTTGCCAGGCTGCAGTTTTGTATTCTTGGCAAGAAAGGGATATCTTGTCCATGTGATTGACAGATGTATTCTGTATGTGAGTTGCTACAAACAAAATGAAACACCTTTGGGAACCTAAGGTGTTAAATTAGATTTCAGATAAAAGTTTCTGCTTTAACTGCGTTAGGTTGAATAGATGCCTGCAGCTGTTTAAAAGAGAAGTAAATCTAAACCTTTTTTGGCTTTACTTTTCTTTTGGGTCACAGGAGTACATTTACTAATGTACACTTGTGACTCAATGCCAGCATATAGCGGGCCACTACCTGCTATAAGCTGACAGTTTAGAGCCGCACAATATTATTGGGATCCACCCAGCTGCCTGATTGACAGCTGGCTTTGCCTCTGTAGAACTAGAGGAAACCTGTGCCCACCCCCTCCGTGTCTGTCCCTCCAATGAGAGCCATAGGAACAGAGAGGGGAGGGAAGAATCCCTGCAGGGAGCAATAACTGAGCGTTGTCACCACACTTTGCTGGGAGATGAGTGATCATGCTCTTGATCTGTAGAGCCGTATAGAGAAGTATTGGGAGAGTAAAATGTACTCTCCCTAATACTTAGAGCTGACGTGGGACACTGCAGCTGTTACACGTCAGCTCTAAGTATTAGGGAGAGTACATTTTACTCTCCCAATACTTCTTTCAGAACACAAATTACAATACACATTCCTGTCTTTTAATGCAGTACTAGAGAAGCCTTTTTGCTTAGCTAAATCTTTGGTCACATCCTGTAATATGGTGTGAATTTACTAGGTAGTGGAAGGTGATTGACTGCTGTTCCTATGTCACATTCTGATGACTTAAGTTAGGTATACACGCTTCTATTCTCTTCAGGAAATAGAACAGATACTTCCAATTCAGTGATTAATGCTTCAGAGGCAATGCTTATGAGTATTGATGGAGCAATCTCCTGCTGGATCCTTGGTATTCTGACAGCGGCTGCCAGCCGCTGTCAAAGTACCCGAACAGAGCTGGCAGCTTATTGGCTGCTAGCTTGTTCCGCCAACAATATTCCGACATGCTCCTTCGATCAGCTGATGGATGCCAGTTGGAAAGGTGCAGACAGCAGCACCCACGCATTGAATTGCAGCCGGTTCATCAAGAGACGGACAAAAATTCATACCGTGTATACCCACGTTAAGGCGCAATCCGGCAAACTGTATTTCCCATGAAGCTAAATGAAATCAGCACATTGTGATCTGGTCTAAGGCAGCAAATACCTAAGACTGGCTGCAGAGAATTGCAAGAGATGCAAGAGCTTACATGAGGATAGAAGCAACTCCCATCATGCCTCTGGGAGACATGCATGTGATTGATGGCTCATAGCATTGCTTCCACAACATCTGGAGTGCCAAGATTGCCTACCCTTGTACTAGGGGCTTTTTAGGTGACCAGTCATTCTCACAAAGAGGACCAGCAGCAGGGTATGGTCCCCATAGTACTAAGTGGCACATATGAAATATATGTATGTAATATTACTTTACATGGTTGAGTAAATAAGAAAAATATATGTGTTCACTGTTCTGGTTTAGCCTTTAGGAGCCAGTGACTACCTGGAAATGTGCAAGAAATTTGACACCGTATTCATCAGAAGAATTCCACATCTAGACATGTCAAGGCGCTCAGAAGCTCGTCGTTTCATTACTCTAATTGATGCCTTCTATGATCACAAGGTACAGTAATTCTATTTGTCAGATTTTGTAGCCCAGATTACTCTCTGCATAGAGTATCCCATAGGTAACGCTGATGTCTGTTGGTGTAAGCTCTTAAGGGAGTTTGCTGAATTCAGTGTCTATTACACTGTCTGTAAGACAGAAGACTTTTACAGAATGACAGCAATCGCTAGCATACTTGTTATGTAGTATACTATACACTGGGTTTCCCATAAAAGACTTCTTTTATAACACTCTCTGGATAAGAGATACTAAAAATGTACCCATTTCTTGTACGTGATGATGTACCAGATTCACCGAAATAGTCATTACATAGAATGGAGAGTTCAGAGAAGGGCCTGTCAGAGATGTTACTATACAGAAGGTTGAGGGGACATATCGGAGCAGTCGAAATGTAAAGCTGAATGGGTGCACTTTTTGCACTCTACAGTATATATGAAGGATAGCTCTGTGTACTGTAAGGGTCTGTCACTGCTGGCATCAATACCGGACTACCGGTAAGTGTGTGCGGGCAGTATACACAAGGAAGACCAATGGAAATACTGGGGAGGGATCTTAGTGGACTGGAAGCAAAATCCCCCATGTGAAATTGCCTCTAAGGTTTAATACTATATTTAATGCATCTACATTAGTCTAAATGACTTTTAGCTAATTACAAAAAGCCAGGTTTTTTTTGCATGTTTTGTTTGTGTATATGTGTGTATATATATATATATATATATA